GATAATGGGTCTGTCGAAGAGGAGTATCTTCTACTGAAACATTCGTACTAGATATGTTGCATACATTTCGCTGCTCAGACCAAAACTTGATTATCGTTCAGCCACTTGGGATCCCCGTCACAAATCTGACAAAGCCAAGCTGGGTAGATTTCAAAATATAACCGCAAGATTCACTCAGGGCAATTACAGCAAGGAATCAAGTGTCGCGAAAATTTCTGCTGACCTAGAATGGGATACACCGACTCTCCGGAGGGCCGATATAAATCTCGACTGACGACGATCTATAAGGAAACTCGTGGGTACGTAGTAACATCAATAGATATCTCCAGGAATCAACTTCAGCAAATTATAGAACCAGACAAACTGAGGTCACCAAATACGATGTCATCGCTGCCAAAAAGTCTGCTACGAGTACTCATTAAGCTGTATCCCAAAACAGCACCAGAATGGAACCTACTCGACGAGGAAACAAGAAATTCTCCACCCAAACTTCCTCATCTTTAAGGCTCAGTTAGACGCAACCAATCTGATGAAATAATGGCTAAAACACGCATTTCAAATTTTAAACTAGGTGTTTTGCGCCAGACTCCCTATTGCCACGTACGCAACAACCAGCGATGATGTTTGTAAGTGACGGGACAGGAGACACGCAATAAAGCCATTTTCCCATAGGACGGGGGCGTAGCCACGGACAGTTAAAAGCAGACAAACAAATTAAAAAAAAAACAAAAAAACAGGTGCTTGCGCCATGTAATCCACTACGGAGCTCTCGAAGTGTCATCCGACTTGTTGAGATCCCGACATAAGTATTTTTTTATTCTCGGAATGACGACATAATACAAGCAAGATGTCAGCATCCTGATTTGAATTATCACAGGGATGACGACTCGTAAAAGTTGGATGATAACATTCTGAGATAGTTTCTAACATAATGACGACATCCAGCAAGTGTAATGTCTACTTTCGTTGCTTGTAATTGTCCCGTTGTACACATGCTAATGACGTTATGGAGGTCAGAGCACCAGTCACAGAATCTTGATGCTGACGTTACAAGTGCTCCAAGGGGGGCTTTCGCAGCGCACCAGCTGACAGCTTTTTGCGACGATTATCCACGATTTCCGCAGACTATCTTTTTGCCTTCTCATCTGCAATGCCGTATTGTTGTATGGCAAAGTACTGTTTCGTGTCGGACAAGTTCCCCAGCATGCGCATTGGCTACATTGTCAGAAAAACCGCATTTACAGCTGGTTGGAAAAGTACTGCCGTCCTTCGGGAAACTTGAAGACCGTCAAGCGAGGGAGTGCAGTGAACATTTCACTCGTGATGACTACGACAATATCCAGCGATAGGAAATGGGGATAGCAAAAAGGCTCAGGTTGAAGCCCGATGCAGTGCCGAGTGTGCTCCGGAACGATGCTGAGGGTTCCCCTCCCACGCTTCTGGGCCTGTTTCTGCATTCGCTGGTACCCAGTCGTTGCGTGCGCCGGCCCAAAAGCACTTGTGACCTCACCGTCGAGATGCTGATCACATGGCCACTTGTTATGGCCGCGTCCACAAAATCAGTTTCGCACCAAGAGAACTGTCTATAACAAAATACTGTGCTTCACGTTTCTCTTTTTTGCTCTTTATTCATGTTTAATTAATCCTGTAGCGGCGATCTAAGATAGTACATTTTGCAATTGGGCCAGATAGAGGCAGTCTTCCTTTATGTCAGTGCTTCGTGCTGTCGTGGCGTCGCGTCGCACCGTCGCCCCATTACTGGTGGAAATAGGGGGCGTCCTTAAAGACTTAGTTAATGACTGTGTATAGGATTTGCATGATCTCAAAAACGGGACTGTCGAATTATCTTGAAATTTCTTAGTGCAAAGTAAGTATATAATAGTGTCAGACAATCTGTGAAAGCCAATAATGCTATCATTTAAAAGAGAAATTTCATATCAGGACAGACAATCTTTGGCAAATACACTTCTTTCAAATATCGCAACCGTTAACGGGCGCAACAATGTGTGTGAAGCATTGGGCGTTTGGAAGAGTCTATATTAACGGGTAAGCTACAAACTGCCAATGCGCCTGTGGTATGCCTAAACTGCATTATTAACTAATAAAAAATATATATAACCCTAAGTAACAGCCTATAAGAGATTTTGGACTGGTTTGAAATTAAGCTTCTTTGTGAAACTGTGGAAGTTTACCTCACGTGAATGTATTATCACGATATAACACCTTACAATAATGGTATGGTCCAAGTAGATCGTGGCCACTCCTTCGGAGTTGGCTCCGGTTTTTTGAACAAAATTTCCAATTTCGAGACATTTAGCTTTCTGTTTTTGCACTCACAGTAACTCTTATGCCCTAAATGCAGGGATAGTTGCCACATTCGTTGATTTTATAAAGTGTTTGTGATGGGCACTGACGGCGTGTGGAGGGTTTTTGCCCGACAAGGGAGGTTACGTGTTTCAAGCGAACAGACTGGTCGATCATGTATGTGTGCATGTACATGTACTGGTTTGGTCACGCGGCTGGTGACCACAGTCACCTCATTGCACAATGACATGACGTTTATTCAACGAAGTTTTCTGCGTTGCATTGTTGAAGAGGACAGACGAGCTTGACGGTAAATTTGCAAACTAGTATAACTGCTCCATGTCATGGATAAAATGCATTTCTGAAGGCTACAGTTGGTCTCCAGATCGTCTTCGCCTGTATGCTATCGTGGTACATGTACTCAGAAACGTCCTGTGGCCCATGGAGTTTTGCGAGACACTTAAATTTACACGAGCTGGTCTTCGAGTGTTAAAAATGAACAGCGTTTTTCTCAATTTTCCTCAAATCGGTGAACTCTAAAAATTAAAATGAAACACAAACTAAATCACAAACCACAAAATTGGCAAATCATGTACACTGCCTTTAGATTATAAACCAACTGACAGGCGTACCATTTCATGATCACGCCTTGCAGGCCCTATGCACGCACATTTTTCCCCCAAGACTCGTGACATACGCCCTCTATTAGCCGAGACAACCACCTGCCATTTTTAGAAACAGTAAGGCACTACAGCACAATACGTACGTACGACAACACGACGCTAAAGCACGACGCGATGCAATGGCACGACGTAATGCAGTAATTTAAACACAGCATAAAAATAATGATAAGGGAAGCAACGCCACGACCCGTCGCATTGTAGCGTCGGCGTAACGACGAGACGCGACGCAATTTTGGTGGCCATAGAGCACCATACAGTAGAAACCAGAAAAACGCACACAGTTGGACAAAAACAGTTGGACAAAGGATAGAATAGAACAGCACATAATTTAAGAGAAAACAACATCAAGCGATTGCTTAAAGACAGAATAAAACGAACTACATATTCATGACTGTCAGCTATAATACTGAGATGGAAGCAGTGACGTAACAGGGGGGCAGTGGGCCCCATGATGTTTTTGTTTCGTTTGTTTGTTTTCTTTACAAGGAATACTTCGTAGGTGAGTAGGAAAGAAAGTAATCGGTACAGCAACAAAACCCTAAGTAAACAACACCAGCTAATGTAAGCAAGGATGTCGGGACCATGAGTAATTACGAGGCGTTTGCCTTTTTTCTCCCTCAACATCATGTTGAATGAGCCCAAAGCTGCATTCGCTTTTGAATTTGCCACGTCTCCCCCCCCCCAAAAAAGCTGGCCATACGCCTCTTAATGGAGAATGTAAGTCAGCTACAAGAATTACAAATCATTACTGCAGTGGCACAACGCTCGTGGACAGGTGGTAAGTGCGTGGTACATGAATAGGGTATCGCAATTGACTACACGCACGCGCACGTCAAGCATAAGAGCGCGCATTGTGACGCTTCCTCGTATTAGCGACACGTTTGAATTGCCCCAAGGATGAGATTTAGTAGATTCACCAAGGGCATTCCAGAGAGGTCAGGACAAACGGAGTGTTTTCACATGCGTGTTGTGAAGTAAATAGTATACAGAAATGTGATTTACTTCGGAATCGCGAACTGGTTGGATACCCACAGGCAGTGTTGTAGTTAAGACCAGGCTGTCCAAGACCCAGACCGAGACCAAGACTAGGCCAGAAAAATTAACCCGAGACAGAGACCATTGAGCGTTTTCTATAGCCCCATGCCGAGACCAAGACCAGCATGTTCGAGACCAAGACCACCTTCAAATTGGTCTCGAGACTAAGACCAGTCTCGACGACTACAACACTGCCCACAGGCGTCACAAACTGCAGTCAACCAAAAAGACAAAGAAGTGGGGAAGTAAATCTTTTAAAGTACATTGTGCATGAAGATCCCCGACTGAAAAATATTATTCCGAAAGTGCTGAAATATACGGCTAAAAGAAAATGGCATGGGATGCACTTTAAAGCCTAAGGGTCAGACTAAGGGTCAGAATCTGGGTCCCATGAGGCCTGGCCCTTTCGGGTCAAATTATGGCCTGTTTTGGGTCATATTTGTCCCAGAACTGTGACCTGTTTTGACCCAAACTCTGGGTCAAATATGACCCAAAACAGGTTATGATTTAACCCGGAAAAGGGTCAGTCTGACCCTGGTGTTTTTAGAGTGTACGCTCCAGGGATGTAAGGATGGGCAGATAAGAATAGGCCCTACCTCCAGCTCTTGTTTTTGTGATGAGTGAATGGAGTCAAACATGCCCGTTCGCGCGATATTTCAATTACTTGAAATAGAGGTTGGGGTTGGGGTAAGAATTAGCTTTGTTACGTAACTGAGCCTGTCTTTCCAAAATGCCGCAATTTCCAAGGAAGAATGTTGCATAAACTACGTTTGCCTGCTACACCTGTCGAAGCAGATTTGCCTCAAATGCCACGACCCAAAGAAATTGTAGGTAGGGCTGAACTCAAGTTTCCAAGGCACTTGGAAACATGTTATAGGGAGAAGTTGGGGGCAGTGACGAGTTTGATGGGAAAAACAAATGCAATGCCACCCGACTGCGAAAACTCTGTGACAAAATAATTGGAATACACATACACAGTTTGCAATATGACCACATAAAAATATTTATTTCTCATTTCAGCCAATGCATATATATACACACACGTATGTGACATATATGATGATTTATTCTCCAAGGAGATTGGATTTCAGTGCAAGTTTATAATTTGAACCAATGTACTTATTAAACGTCTTACTGAAAACACGAAAAGCAATACGTGCCTAAAATAAAATGACAAAAACACTTCAAAAGATATCTAAACTGTCATTAGGCGAATGAAAAAAGTGATGTAAAATCAACTTTTCCACGACATAAATTCATAAAAGCCCCTCATATACGAACACGAAAGACTCACAATACGCAGGTCTGACGTCATTCCGAGTGCTAACGAACAACATACAATTATAACTTCAACAAAGTTCACTCTCCTCAGGTTACCTATTTCGAATACAGTCCACTAGATCTGAGGGCCCCGATCTCTTCTTTCCCTCCTTTCCTTATTACAAGGCTGTGGTCAGCTCAAGGTTTTTAAGTCGGAAGGTCCGAGTGGCCTTGTTTTAACAAGAATTGACCCATTCTTATCCACTTACATCTCGCTCACTTATGTCGCAATACCAATGCCTTAAAACATTCCAAAAATTGACGCGATGAAGAACTATTAATCAGTATAATATTCACACATTTCAACATTGTTTAGCCAACTGACGAGCTTTTCTGCACACAAACCTGCTGAAGCATTTCATCGATGTGCGAGTTTCGCCATCAGATACACATGGGCAAAGAAGTGAAAGAAAACCGCAGGTCTGTCTGATTGCTTCAACATCAGACGGGTGCAAATAATTCTTCTATATCAAACATCTCAGCAAATGCACTATAATACCCACATCGATTTACAAATTGCTTTGCAGATCACGTTTCAGTTCTTGAAAAGAGATTTGAGGGACAATAACGCTTCTGTCTAAAACAAAAATACCTGCCTACATCAAGTACGCTACTTCGTTAAACCACCTGTTGAAAACAACCTACTCCTGAAGCATTAACTGCTATTGTATAAGTCAAACTCTTTCACCTCGAGAGGACAGCTGCAGCACACAGGTAATCATTTTTGTGAGCTGATTGTGAGTACAATACAAAGAGCTTTCGAGACAATACCTACAAACACGGACCAAATGGAGTAGAGCAATATCACTTTCACATCAGCACCATGAAACAATGTGCATTAAAAGTGCAGGATATAAATGAATACTCGGCCATAAACTGCATTGTTTGAATTATTTCTATACACTTGTACAATTCAGCCAAGCTTAATATTGGAGTAAAATCAGTTACATTATTGTTCCCTTCCTTTCTCCCTTTATGATTTCCAAAGCACCACCCCAAACAATTCCCCGTGCTCGTGTACGTGCAATGCTGTCTGATATATTCATATTTTCTTCATGAAAAGCAGACAGGATGTGCACGTACTTTCCTTGAAAAGCAACAACATACAGCGGGTCTGTCAGTGGTTGGTGTACGCAGTTATTGTGACTTGAGGCTGCCCCATCACCATAATTACTTGTTTTGGGCCACTGTTATTCACAGGACTATGTTTGCGTAAATTAAATAGGCGCTCCCCGACATCTATCCTTGCCAGATCCTCCTAATCCTAACACGACGAAATGGGTACACAATCACATAAAAGGAAGCCAGTGTATCTGTCCTCATTGCTTCCAAGGCCCCCCAAAAAGGCCAGAGAAGATTGAATACATACCTTGTTAACGTCTAAAATACGACCCACATTTTACATGAAAAGCCTGAAATCCCAGGCCTTTGCCTGAAAACTCGCATCCCTAAACTCGGTAATTTTGGATACCCATCTGTCGGCTGTTTTCAACTCGGCCAAAAATTCCTTTTGACATGTTTCATAGAAACTAGCGTCGGTTAAGTACTGTGAATGGTGGTTGTACAAATCTGCAGCGGCAAGGGCCCTAACCATACATACTCTCTACATTGTAGGAAATAATTTTTTTCCTTAAAGGATGACAAAAATATATGGGCAAAAATCATGGAGATTCATAAGAAATCAATGAAAAATCCAGTACCATACAAGATATTTATCAATATGTACATGATAAAGGATACATCCCTTTCAGGGAAAACTTAGTTACAAATTTGGTCTGGCTCCCCCCCCCTCTCTTGCGTCAGGTAACCACCTGCGGTCAAAATTAATGCACAATGAGGTATTGCCCGGTTGTCTTTTTACATGCAGGCACAGGAGTCAGATTTTTAAACTACATGGAAATGTAATCAAACGATGGGCAAAAATGGCAGTAAGTTTCAAAAACATGGTATGAAACTTGAATGAAGGCATGCGCGAGAAAAATATGGTACATGGGAGACATAACTGGCAATTACTTGATAAAGAAAATAAATGCAAGTTTTGGAAAATTGGCGACATTTTCCAGTTTTTGTTTTTCAGTTTCTTGCATTTGGGTCAAATTACTGTGGCAGTTGCCAGAATTAAAGATTCTCCAAATAGTCACAATCTCATGGTCTAGGGACCAAATTTAAAACAATGACTAAATGTACACAAAGCAAGACCTGTACAATCTTGATATCTCGACTGGTCAACGCACCCACCCCTTGGGTCAAACACGATATGTCACCTGTTTTGTGGGGACCGTGTTATGGTGACACTATGAAGTCCAAACAACTTGGTCCCAATTCAGCTAATATACGAAACTTCCCCATCAGGCGGTGAGGGCCGGAATACCCCGACACACGCTTGTTTTCAACAAACCACAACCAAAATTGTTCCAGTGCAAAAAAACTTGAATCATACAGGAACATACCACAGTCACGGATCACAGTATACTTGCTCAGTCCCTATAAGTAAACGCAAGCTGCGCGTTTACCACATATACAAAAAACAACATTGTTGTTGGTCAATTCAATCCAGTCTTTCAGCGCGTTATCTGAGTTAACATGCAGCTCAACCCTGTCCTAACCATGACAAATTGCTGAATAAACCATTCTGTCGTGGGAAGAGTCCGTCTATCCACGTGTCCAATGGCTAGCCTTGAACACTTTTGGACGGGGACTTTTTGCTTGAACAAAATTTAATTACAACATCTCTTCACCATTTTCTACACAAATCTTTTAAAAGACTTAAACCCCAACAGGGCCACGCATGCCCTCCAATTTCCATATGAGTCTAAAAACCACAAGGCATTTAGGATTAAAACCGAAATCTGAACAAAATTATGTCATCTCCCAAAATGCATGGAACAGCTAAGACTTAAAAGCTCTGATTACAAGCACCAGTTTGAAGAAAAACTGTTCTGAGTGTGTCCCTGGGAGTGGACAGGCAGAGTTAACACTAAAGTCTTGTGCACATTTATAGTACATTGCAATTGACACTTAACCTGGCAATGGAAAATTCTTTCACTTTTTTTTCTCTGCCCTCGGAATCTATTTTCATTTCACAAAATGAGAGAGCAATCTCCCACAATGAGAAAATGATCACACCCTTTCACACAAGTGGGAAATCATTTCCACATCTCTTCACATGAATGGGAAAACATTTTCACATCTGTTCAGAAGAGTCACGAGAGTGGGGAAACATTTTCACATCTGTTCACAGGAGTCATGAGAGTGGGGAAACATTTTCACATCTGTTCACAGGAGTGGGAAAAAAATTTCCACATTTGTTCACATAAAGTGGAAAACATTTTCACGTCTGTTCAATTAAGTGGGAAACTATTTTCACATCTCTTCACACAAGTGGGAAAACATTGTCTATACTTTTTGTACAGGTTGAAAATTCTTTTCAAACCTTACACAATGCAATTGTGAATGCGGATTCTTTTCACAGTATTTCTTATTTTTTTCACAGTGTTAATGTTCAACTACAATATAGTGCAGTTACCGATGGTGAGATTCAAGGACGAAGAGAAATCCGCAAAACATCCAGCATGACAATGATAAAAGACTACAACTCAATGCTTGTAATAACTAATAAGGCAGGACTCCTTTCACAAATGGCTACGATTATGTGAATCTAGCACTTAGCTTTTCGCACAGGGCTAGAAAGTGTGAAAACCTGAGTGATTAGATCTCCCCCAAACCCAACATTTGGGGGAAAACAATCCTAAAATCTGGAAGAATCTCAAAAAAAAATCACACCCCGTCAGTTGACATTTTGTAGTGAATTCAATACAAACTCCAGGCTTATGCTCAGCAAGGTGAGCATTTCTTGTGTGTATAGTCGGCCACACACTTCTGCAATGAATCAGAAGACTTTTACTATAAAATCGGGAAAAGTTAAAATGCAGACAGCGCCAAGTCAAAAAGATGTCTGAATAAGGCAGCTGTCTTCAAAAATTGAACATCTCGCTGAGTAGCGGCAGCATGCTGGTCCCTTGTAGCTTCAGGTTCATGATGTCATCCATGTACTTCTGAGTGATGTCACGCACGTCCGTCAGCAGCATCAGCGACTGTTGATAGGACGACAAACAAACAATCTAAAATTCCTGTCCGAACTGTACAGTCATGAGCAACGTTCAAAGTTCACCAACAAACAAAACTTGCCTTGAATTTGTGAATCCCCTATTTTTCACACTATGATTTTGTTCTTTTGAGAAGGAAAAGGTTTCATCTCAGGAACATTCCAACCTCTTCCAATTTCTGGTTCTTTAATAAAAAAAGTGTGAAAAGGTTGTTCCTTGCATCTACCTTGACAAAGACTGACTTTGGACATGTAGGTACATGCATGTTTCCACATGACAACTACATGCCACTGTGAAAAAAGACCAAATTTGATGCTTTCACTCTCTTTAAAGACATTAGCGAACTAGAGTTTGGCCAGTTCAAGGGGCCGTTCTGACTATAAACCACTCTCAGTTTGCCTACAACTTACATGGGTGGCCAAAGTTTCTGTAGAAAATCAACCTTTGGTTAGTTTTCGATTTTACCTCAAATTGGTTCGAAACGTTTATTTGTCCCATTAATTTTAAAGAGGGTTGTATTCTTGTTACTAGTAAGTGCATAATTTATCTAGTTTTTGAAGGCTGACTGGGATTTTGAACACTATGTGATTTACTCTTACTTTTGTACTGATGGCCAGCCATAGTTTTGTAGGAAAACTACACTGACAAAAAAAATGACCCTTCAGTTGGGATTGATGCCCTACACGTACATGTAGTTGGGCAGTAACATTGGCAAGCTACAAGGAAGACCCTGCTTGCCTGATCTCCACGCCATGTTGGGAGTGACAACGCAGACCATAGCTCTGGGTGATGCATGTGCTCCTCTGCTCTGTGTATGATCTACCATTTAGAATGCAGGCACAGATCTCCTTACCTTTGGGAACACATTTTGCCCAGGATGGTTTAACCTCACACAGGTCTGCAAAGCCTCCACTAAAGTCTGCTGCTGGGTGGTGACAGTTTCCAAGTCTTTAACATCAGGCCGATCTGCCAATAAAGAAACAAATGAAACTATGTAAAAAAATATGAGAAGGCTGGTAAGCAGTAAGTGGGTAACCATCACTTGAGCTGCTCGACTGGTGGACCTAAGTGCTCCTTTATCCAAGGTTTGTGTAACATTTCTTCACCCATAATCCTCAGTTTTTTACACACATGTACTAAAACAATGCCATATATTGATATTTTTGCCACATCACCCAGCTGTGGGACAACGGATTAAGGGACTCCTTCATATGCCTCTGGCAAT